ATACAAAAGAAGCCGAATCAAATCAAGAAAATTTTGGGCACACACTCCAATGCAATGAAACTCCGTCTTCCAATTAGGTTTTGGCGATGGGACCACCTCCAATGAACTTAAAAGGCCCAAAACCCTTAAGGTGTTGTCGTCAATGTCGGAATCGTGTCCTCGAAGTCCGTGCAACCATAATATGAAAATTCAGTTAATTCCTGTATAGACCCTAGACCACCACTACACGCGCTGGACCAGATGATTGCCAATAACATTATGAAGCTTAGCTCCAAAATTCAGCCCTAAACGATGCCGGATGAGCCTTCACTTATCAAATCGGAGAATTGACAGTTCGTTAAAAATTGCTTGAAAAATGCGCCACACCACGATGATCAACGTAAATTTTTTTCACTGGTAAATTTCATAATTTTTTTCACTTAGGATGAAATTGCAGGAAACGGAGCCTTAGCAACCAATCGACGACCCTCCGACAACTTTTGATCAGAATGTTCATCTAGTTAATTCGAGTTCATTCCAACCATCATTTTTCCTACATGAGGCCCAAATAGTGCTCATCAGGGTCGGAAGACCTTTGCTACTACAGTTTCTGGCCGTCCAGGTCTATCACAGTATCAAAAAAGTGCATGAAAGTCGTTTACATAGGTTCTATAGGCTATAAACAACTTTTCTACTATTGGGTAAGTCGACCTTTGAATTGACTGATTCAGAGGAGGCTATTTTTGATGATACCTACAAGTACACACTTGTAGGGAAATTTTCCCACTACAGGTGGACCATTAGGAAATTACGTGAGATTTTCTCTAAGTTTAGATTCGATGGTTGCTTTAAGGTAGGATTGATTGACACTACACATTTACTTATCTATCTTACACACGATGAGGACCACAACATTTCTTTCTTAAGCCTTCTTGGTACATTATGGGTATCCGATGAGGGTCTTTAAAAAGACGTGATTTCATACCCAACCAAGAAATTCCAATAGTTCCCATTTGGATTTCATTCCCCTTGCTTTCGATACATTTGCGTGCTAAGGGGTTCATTTTTGCTTTATCAAGGGTAATAGAAATACCATTGAGGATCGATGAGGCCACCTTCGATTTGAGGTGCCCTAGTGAGGGTAGTGTGTGTATTGAGGTAAATTTTGAGCTTAGATTGCCCGACATGATTTATATTGAGCGCGATGGTAACCGTAGCTTCAGTAGACACTCATCTATGAGAAATGACCAATTTTTTACTTTAGTTGTAGACATATGGGCCATTCTTGTGATTACTTCGAGGACACCTTTGCCTCCTCTCTAGTTGTTGTGCCTCCCCATGTTCAGCCCCCTCTTCATACGGTGAACATTGCTAATAGGGCTGACAAGGAGTAAAGGAAATGTGATGTTTGTAGAGCAAATGAACCAGTGGGTTCTAGTTTTAGCAATGCCTACTATGTTCCCCACTATTTTCGTCGCAATTCGGATAGAGTTAACAACTACATCAATAGTTCTTACCTCGACCCCCATGACAATAGTTCTAGAGGTACCTCCAGTTACTCTTTTAGTCATTCAGCCTACACTAGTGGCTTATATAGTGTACCCACTCCCCGTACTATCACTGCTACAACTGTTATTGTTCTTCCTAACACTGAGCCGACACATATCAATTCTTTTTCTTTGGAGAAACATATAGAGGGTACTCGGTCATCACAGGGATCATGATCTACTTTACCGATTAGTATAAGGATAGTGCTTCAAGACACCTTGCATAAGGGCTAGCTAGCTGAGATTCACTCAAAGTGATCCAGTGTCAAGTAGACGTTGATCGATCATTTCAAGAAGATACACGGCCTAAAGGTTGGATCTACCAAGAGATTTATCATTAAGGATCTTGGGCTTCAAACTCTTTTTTGAGGGACCATCGTCCAAACTTTCTAGGAGTCAAACATCTACACCTTCACCTAGTTCTTCTATCACGGCTCCTATCCAGGATAATGTGAAGGCACATATATATAGTGACATAGATGATATGGGTCTCGGAGATTACATGGAGAATACAGAGGCAGATTTACCTTCAGTTAGTAGGTGACTTTCACATACTTTAGATGTTGCAGCATAGAGCACCATGAGATCAAAAGCACATACGACGAGCACCATGAGATCAAACGTACCTACTTTTTGCTTGACATTCAGTGCACCATCGCCCGCGCAGCATTTTTTACCTAGGCGGTATCTTCTCCAATGAGTGAGCCCGACTGCGTAGACTACTATTATCCGAAAATGTTTCAGACCAAACGCATGACCCAATCGATGTCTATGTACTACTACCTGAAAGTTTACCCTCGAGAGTACCCTTGAGTAGTATTCACTAATTTTTTTTTTTTTTTATGTTTTATTTACTGATACTTGCATTTAATATTGAGACATTTATTACTTTTTTTAATTTACTAAATGTAAGGTACATGCCCCCCACCTTTTACGTACTTTATTTTATTATGATATAAAATAGACATGCTGGTGGTCTTTTGTTACGCATTTTATGTAACATAATAATAAAGCAAGTGTACGGTGTCAAATTTTGTAGTATAAAGATTGAGTACAAATGTCGAATCCACATGAATTGATATTTAATTTATACCAAGTGTTATAATTATTTTAGCATTTATTTTATTTAAACAAATGAATGTTATAATCAATGTATTTAACTAATCTAATGAGATGAATGTGATGACAATTCAACAAAATTATGCAAATTTGAAGGAATAAATCAATATAAGAAGGCTTAGGGCATGATTTCACCTCACTATCAACAATGTTTATCAAATATATAGGTACTTCTAATCGATTTTTTCAAATTTATAAGCAAGAACCTTAATGTAATTATACTCTCTCTCTTTAGTGCCAAGTAAAAACTATTCATATCTTTCAATTCCAATATCTCCATTCCAAATTAAAATCTAGAAATTATTAAATTTGTGGTTCTTAAGTGGAAAAGGTTTCAAAAATTTTATATTTTCTCTCAAATCCTATAAAATATAAGTTGTGTTATTCTTAGATCGAACATTAATTTCCCTCTTTCGAATGTCGAAATTGACTAGTATCAAATCATTCAATTAGTGATCAGGTAATTAAAAGCATTAAACCAATAACACAAATAAACTTTCAAGGAAAAACTAAAAGAAATAACTAATATAAAATCAAAACATTGTTTCACGTTTGGCTACATCAAACCCTAGATTAGAAGTTTTACAACATGATTAATGAAGTAGACACAATCAAATTTAATATCCTAAAAATGCAGAAGAAAAGAAATAAAAATTGGCTTGGCGCTTGAATTTTTCTTCTCGTTGTTTCCTCCTTCTTTCTCTTGATTGATCTCTTACTTTTTGCATTGTTGAATTCTCTCTTAAAATAATCTCTAAGGTTGTATTTATAGTGTCTTGAAGTCCCATGAAGAGTTAGGGTTGGATTGGGCCTCGAAAGAATCCAAGAAAAACAAAATTCCTTCTCGCCAAAGGTGGTTCACCGACACTGGCTTTGTTGTTTTCTTCATCCTCTTGGTCACTCTCTTCACCTTGTTTGCATGGTTTCCATATCCAAATCAATTTTAGCTCATTAAACTCTTCATTTCACCGTGTTACCACACCTACAACACAACATCAAAACACATATTAATATGTTCTAAAACACTCTCAAGAGCAACTAAATAACAAGCTAAAGTGGTATTACAACAATGAGTGGAATACACTCATCATCTTTGCTTAAAAAAAACTCCCCACAAATAATCGTAAATCAATTTGACCATTTCTAGCCATTCTTTCGGCAAAAAATAAATAAGGGGCGGAAGGCCTGAGGACCAATGACCATATGACTTAGTTGCCTCACCTTCCTTCCACCTTACTAACGTCTCTCTAATGTGCTGGCCCATATCTTTCGCTAGATTACACCAATACTCTTCATACTGCCTCATGATCTCATATTGATGAGGCATTATTGAACTCATCTTCGTATAGATTCTCTTAATCTATACTATCTGTGCCATAGAAATAATGAAAATTCAAAATAGTTGTGTTTCTAATATCTTTTACAAGGACTAAAATAGAAATTCATAATTTAGTCACGTTCTCAAATTTTTTAGCAAAATTCAAAAATATCCCAATCACATTCCCAAACTCGACATCTTTAAAAATAAACTCTCGTGATTTAAATAGATACATTCACTCATAAACATTTCAAATATCATGAGGGTCCGTTTGATCGCAAGAGGAAAATAGGGTGGAAAGAAAACGAATATCAAGGAAAATATTTGCCTAGAATTTGTTTTTCCGGGAAATGTCAATTAGTTGCGTTTGATTGATATAATTTCTATCTAAAAAATGTTGAGATTTTCCATCTTTTGGTGTTTGATTGACTTTCTTTTCTATGGAAAATTATGATGATTTGTGTAAAACTATCAAACTTCATAAAAAATTTCCGACAACATCCATTCATCCTCCAGCATCAACGCCCCCTGCGCCCCCTCATACTCCAACAAATTTCCCACCACCTGCAAGCCCAACTCCCAGCTAACTCTCTGCCGCCAACTTCATCCCCACCGCCGCCGCCAAACTCCCCCAGCCAACTCTCTACTAGTTGCCACTAGATTCATCCCCACCACCGCCGCCCAACTCCCCCAGAACAAGAAACAAGGCTTGAAACAAATCAATTCACAATATAATAAAACTCAATTCAAGTTAAACAGACTATTGAAATCCCAAATCACTTCAATTGAATACAAGCAAAAGAATAGACCTTCAGCTACAGTTTCTCCACCAATTCCTCCCGCATCAACCCCACCTCCGACTAACTCCTCCACCGTCCCAACAGGTGGGAATTCGTGAACTAGAAATGGCTCCGAAATTCGGCACTGAAGAAGACGTCGCTTCATTTGAAGAATCGATTCCCAGCTAAGAAACGAGATTCCGGAAATTCTGGGTTTCACCGAAAATTCCCAGCTAAGAAGACGCCGAAAATTCCCAGCTAAGAAGATGCCGAAGACGTAGATCCCCAGCTAAGAAGACGCTGAAAATTCTGGGTTTCACCCTCCCCTTTCTTGACCCATAGGAGGGTATTCTCCTCCGTCGTCGTCGTCGGCGGTGGTGGAAGACCCAAACGCCCCCCAAGAAATGGGCGTCGCTTGCGGGAGAGAAAATCCACAGGTGGATTTCCTTCTTCCAGGGAAAATCGATTCCCAGCTGAAACGAGAGAAAATGTTTTGCTCAATTTGGTGGAAAATAGGTCACGNGATTTGCGGCAATAACAGGCTCATGGTAATTAAAACAATTTATTTGACACATGATTCTAAAATTTTGGAAACCAAGTTTACCTTTTGCAAGTCTACAAAAAGGTAAATTGCGCTTTGATACCAAATTGTAAAGCCCCGAATTCTTATAACCCGATGCATTACCAAACATGAATTATGTAAAGTTAATCTTGAAAATAAGATATTAAGAAAAGTGTTTAAATTTAAATTAATTAATATATATTGTAAAATCTTAACCATTTTTAACATACGTACTTTGGAAAATATGGAACAAAATAATTTGGAATGAGTTTTTTTTTTTTTAATGAGCAAGCTGAAAACAGTTTTTCTCCTATTGTGCACTGAGTTGCAAAAATTTCACCAAGCTAAACTCGACCAAAATTTATGAAAATTTACCAAAGAGTATAAATCCATATAAGTACAACATATAAGAACTTGGGATCTCTAAAACGGTTTACTAAAACTGCTATAATAAATTTCACGGGATTCCGATCGACTGGTTTTCAGTTACATATGATAGATAACTCATAGAGGGTCATTTTTCAATTAAAATCATGCTGAAATTCTAAATATACAGACTGTAATAATTTTTTAAAAACACGGGCAGAATGCTGAAAATTCATGAAAACATGTCTTAACGTTAAAATTTACAGTCGAAATATAAACATAAACTACAAATATTTGGACACCACAAGGGTTTAAACATAAAAAATGACAATCTAAAGCATAAAGCAATCAATTTCTCTAGAATAAAATATGTCATTCAGGTCGAGCTATTGTACTATCTCCAATTACTTGAAAAATATTAGATAGAAGCGAGCATTTCAAAAAAAATACTCTGTAAGCTACACATGCTACATGAACGTAATAATCACATCTAATCATGTATTTTTGCGTATTGCCTTCATAAATAAGCAAATCGATGATCAAACAATCTATTTAAAGTTCTGATGAGCCTCTGCAACCATCAGTTAAACCTATAATATTTCTTACATTAACATTTACGAAGAACAATTAAAGGCACTTGACGTATTTCATGAGCAAACATAATAAATAACATGTGAATGAAAATTAAATTCATATAACAATCAACTTAGTGTATTGATCCTACATTAGTTTGTAATGATACGATAGTGACTATGTGAAGCGGTAACCCTTTCCAATTTTAGATGTGAAAATGGTCTTTGCATTTCTTTATAAGTCGTATGCATAAAATTATATATTTTGTGTGCGCTATGTCATTTATGTATCTAGAATAACTTGTAACCTATCGTCAATTGGAGTTAATGAGTAATTAGGAGTCCTTAGCTTTGTAGCCCTCAAAGAGTAGATAAGGATGCATTTCAATTAAACAAATGGTTGCCTGACCAAATCTTGAAACCCACACGGAATTAAACCCTTAATCCAAAATCAAAAGGTCAAAAGTCAATTTCTTGTGACACACGATGGTTGCCAAAATGTTAAATGCATAATTAACATTAATTAATATAGATTTTTTTAGCTACAATAACATGAACCTGTTCAAAATTCATCATTTAATATGAACTTCGAAATAAGTCCTATATTGATGAGGAAATTCTTGCTAAATAAATATTTGGTTATTTGATCGAATTAAAAAATAATGACGCAAAACTTATTTTCATAATAGTCCTTCAACATCTCAAAATTAACAAAACGTACCAAAATGAAATGAACGAAATTATATTTTCAATCGTTACATTTGACTGAAACAAATAGATGTTTAAGCCACGAAACATATAAATGCATGGATAAACTATAATATGGATGGTTCATTTTTCGCTAAAATTTTGTAGACGTACAATATCAAAAACAAACAATAAAACGGTAATAAAATATCGTTTTCACGATAATTGTATAATCAATTAAATCCAATTAATACTGACATTAACCAAAATAGCAAAATTGTACGTGCATTCATTATTGCACAGTAAATTCTAAAACTAAATAACTACAAAACTTTTAATTAATCCCCTATTTGACGAAAATTATTTGGAAAAAAACAATATTTTAAATAGTGAATTTTTAAAGAATATGTATTTTAAAAGCAAGAAAAAATTTTAAATTTACATACATAATATTTTATTGTATAAATACGTAGTTGAAATTATTATATGAAAAAAGAATATGAAATAATGATTACCAAACAGGGATTAAACCATGAAGTGTTTATGAAAACTCAATTAATTATAACCATTAAAATATCGAATTTCCCTATATTAGTCCAAGTTTTTTAGCTCAAAAAATATAAAACTATTAAGTAATTAAAGATCCCAAATTTCGTCTGTGGAAAACACGGCTCAAAAGGGATACTCAAATTATTCCTCGAAACAAATGCTACAAGTTACTTAAAAAATAGCAACATAATCTACAACTTTGAGATCTAAAAATAAAGGGAAGATTGTGAGTTGAAACACAATCTGCTGCTCAAGAGTTAAAACTTCATAAATGCTATAAATAGGTATGCCAAAAAAAGACTACAAATAGCTCCCACGACAGTTGTATAAGATGTGATCTTGCTCAGACTGTAGCCTGTTAGAAGGATCCGCTGGATCAATGGCAAATTAAGAAAGTCAGGAGGCAATAGTCAAGTTAGGGGAAATGCGAGTGTTATGGCTCAATGTTAATAAAACTACAGCTCAACTTTCTGGGCTCGTCTATTGTCATTCCTCACTGGGAAAAGCCAATTTAAAATTTGGGATAATGTACTGACCGAGGCAGTTTGCTCTGTTTGATCTGATTCCATACTGCAAAGAGCCGTGTAGTCATGCTTTAAATGAGGAGCAGCTATTCGTTCCTGAGCAATAGAAGATTGAATCAGAGAAATGAGTGACCAACATATAGCTTCATGCTAAACTCCAGAATAAGCAAATCATACCTTAAATATTTCGAAAGGGCAAACATCAGAGTTTTCGCAACCCTGTGCATAAGAAGCAAAAGAAACAAACGGAAGGCATTAATCAACTAAAAGCAAGAAGCACACATGGTGAACAAATACTTAGTATTTACAGAACATGAGCAAATTATTAAAACCCTTGTGTAGATTTATTTGAAAATTGAGAGGGAACTTGAGGCACTGCAGAAAAGAATGTAGAAGCACCTAATATAAAGGACCAGGTTCGTAGAGTATCAAGACCGAGAAAATTTAGCATTTTTAACATATTTATAACAGATGACTATCATGACTGCATAAATGCACATTTCATCAGACATGAAAACAATCTTGAAGATGATCAGAGGGCATTATGATATGTTGAAAAATAGATAACAATGACCTTACCGGCATTGGAATGGGCTGTTCATTGTGCAATACTTGAACAAAGTATTTGCTCGAATTGTTGGCTGGGCAGCTATATAAAACTAGCATGTTATTTCCAGCAAAAGGGACAACCGTGCTGCCATGCCAAATTCTCTTTTGGGGAGGCTTCGGAGGAAATCGCAAAGGATGTTCCCCTAGTATTAGTTCAAACTCTGGAAAAATGCCAAGATTGAGTAAACACATGTCGAAATGAAGCCATAAAAGAACTGAAAGTGACCAAAGATGCCACTAAAACAAATCTAAGCATGAAAGCCTTACCAGATCCATCAAGAAACAGCCCAATTAAACATGAAAATGGAAGCAGAGTTTCTGCATGAGCAAAGCGTAGTCTGGCCATTTCATAGCTCCCAGGAACAAGTCCTTCTATAAAAAGCAGAAAGATCTAAAGATTAGAATAAAAAATCGAATGTAAGGACATTAAACTAAATACAAATATTCAATTATGTAGACACTCATTACAGAAATGGCCCAAATGGGTAGTTTGTGTGCTCAGTATCACTACTAAAAACTTAATGCAATGGTTGGGATGATCTTGATTTCTAACTAATGATGAAAAAATAGATACAACTTTAGGAATTTCATGCAACTGGAAAAACTTTCATGTATACTTGGTCTAAATACAAACCAGCAGTTAATTGCTCTTGCTCTCTTGTTGCTTGCTTGTTTTAAAAAATGACATCTACAATATCATTTTGAGAAGTTATGAAAAACTTCACAGGTTGTCCAAAAATTAGAAAAGGGAAAAACGAGACTGAAACCTTCACAATATAGCTGTCAAACTTAACTCATGTTTAGCAATGGTACGAATTGATTATATCTTGATGAACTAATTTAATTTATTGTGAAGCTAGCATTATATCACAACTTACAATATACTGCCACTCGAATAAATTAAACAAAAAATTATGGTTCAGCAAACAATATCCTCAAACAATTTACAATTAAGATTATCAATCTATGGTTTGACTTACCACGAGAACTTTTGTTGATACATTCTGTATTTTACTACAATTTCTCTCGTTATTATCTGTCTATCGATACCTCAGCAATCTAGTTGCCCTCTGCTCCATTCAAATAAATTAAAATTGGGCCACCAGGCTAGTGGCGGCAATCTTCGTCCAAATCGATCACTTCATCTCAATCTATCCATTGTTATTCGATTTAGATCCATCTAATAATATTAATGGATGACCTAAAAGGACCCAAATATGTAACTCTTGTAAACAACCCAAATATTCTATTTAGATTCAATCCATTCCCATTTAGTTTAGCCCATTGTTATTCGGAAGATGTAGAGGATTTTCTTGACTTATCTTAATTAGCTAAGCATGTCTCAGTATTTTTTGTTTATGATATTTTCTTGGTCTAAAGTGACCCGCATCTGATAACAAATCTCTGCCTAAGAATACTCAAGTCAGAAGTCAGCCTTAATTAAAAGAAAGTTAATTGCAAGATTGAACGTCTACAACTGTTTTGACAGCTAGTCCCATTTATCAGTGTTAGGGACGAGACGTTATTTTATATGCAAAACAATAGCTTCTTGACGAAGGCAACCAAGCTGTAGTACTTGAAGGAACCTTCCCCTTTGAAAAAGTGACATTACCCAGTTTTTCTTCTCTTTTTCCGGCAGAATACGAGCAGTCACTACTGATGCTAATCCTATGCACTTACAAAAACTAGTAAAAAAATTACTTGTATCACATGCTTTAAAAAAAAGAAAAGAAGTTTAATTTTCAAAAACAAAGGCTAATAGAATCCTCAATCCCAGATTATTTTTTAAGCACTAAGGAGAGATTGTCAACAATTAAATCCATTTTACACACAAATATCTTATTGTATTGATCAAAATCCAATCAGAATTAATCCATCAACATCCATGTAGTAATTGTCAACTAATGATCAATTAGGTTGCTAATGGAGCCCCCAATTGTTATGTCTTCCCCCCTTCCTCCATCACCAAAAAAAAAATCCAACTAGAAGTGGATCTGCCAAGCCACCAGTAGAGGACAACTTCCAAATTAGAAGTGAAAATATAATACAGATAATAATATTTTCTGCATCATAAATAGTTTTGTGAATTCATGCCTTTCAGTTTGAACTTCTAATCCTCCCAATAAGATAGGAAAGGAAAAAAATGCTGTTTAAGAAAAGGCAAGAATGTAGGATGCATAACCACTAAATCATCAATGCCTTTTGTATTGTTAACTTTACCTTCTCTAGCATTAATAGCTTGCTCCATCGACTGGATGACATCTTTAAGCAATGGCACCCCCATTCGGTAGTTTAGTGAATTACCATAGCCCTTCAGTATGAATAACTCCAGATCATCTGCCCACTCCAACAAATCAACCTAAGATGAGCATTTTTAGCAGGTTTGTGAGCATGAATCCAGAAATACAGCATTCTCATCGTGTCAATCATTATTGTATCACTGTATTTTAGACACACTCAATTTGCAACAGAAAGATAGATCTCAAACTGAGTACATACTCAGAAAGCCTATCCACGTAAAGGAAAGTTGACATATAATAGCAATTTAAGAGGTTGGTTGATATGTTACAACCAAAGGCTTACGGTAAAGGAAGTGAAAGGGGTAAAACGAATACCTGAGATGGACTAAATAGAGCGCAAGCTTGATCAGTTGTGTTCAATAAGGACGCTTCCTGGTTTAGCAGTCAATTGTAGAAAGATTATATTCAAAATCTGAAAGAAAAATTTAGTGTAGAACTCAATAACATGGCTAATATATTACCTGTTTGCACAGAAACCACAGAGATGACGTATCCTCTCTTGTAAAATTCAGACCCCAGCGCTTTGCTAGTTCTTGAGCAATTTCATTTAATAAGGGTTCCTTGAGCTTATCAACAAATGGTTCTTGACTTTTCCTAAAAGCCTGTAACCAGGTATAAAAGTTAATGATTTAAAAGTAATTCGTCAACGTGATGAAGTCTAGAATTGTTTGGTTAATGGTGCTTGGATAGTAATATCATCCACATTAGCTAATCATTTTCTTCCACAAACTATTTGACCAGTAAACGAGATACCACATTTTCAATATGCTGTAAAATATTTCAAAGCTAGAATGACAAAAGAAGATTAACCGCTGAGCAAGGCAGTACTACAATATTCCGAAGTTTAAAGATGCACAATTCACCATGTAAGGGAACAATTTTTAATACACTCAATGAGGAACTTCATGCCATATAAAGTTTGACAGTGAGAAGGCCTTTGGTAATGTAGAGTATGAAAACTGAAGATCAGAGACTGAAAATTAAATTACTGAGTGCCAATCAGAGGGATTACTTCACTGTTCCAACATGAATAATTGAAAATTGTGGATCCCCACATCCCCCCATGTTAAAATAAGTTTTATAATAGTGACTGTTTGGAGAATGTATGGTTAAAAAATAGGGAAAGTTTTAGATTTACGTGCAAAATTATTTCATGGGAGAATGTGCATTTGAAAATGAATTTTTAAAAGAATGGGGCTCAAACAGGGGCTAAATGTCACAATAGCGTCCTATTTTCAAGTCAATATGCATAGTTGAAATGCTTCTATTTTAAAAACTGGCCAGTTAATGATCAACAAGTCAGAAGGCTTTGCAACACATAAAAAATTTAAAGCAGCGCTCATTGGTTGTTTAGGTTATGAAGGATGAGACTCAAGGTTCAAACTGATACGTAGAACTTAATCTGATAACTATTATGATCTAGAAATTGATGTACCATACACTTGCAATCCATCGTCAAATGAAAAAAAAGAGGCATAACTTATCATCTAACTTATACAAATGGAAAGAGAAAGAGATAAAAAGAAGAGGAAAAATGAGAGAAGATGAAGAAGAATTGGAGAATTCGAAAGAGCAATTTAGATAAAAATTTCAATATGCTGACTTTCAATATATCAATTGTCTACATTATTGAGAAATATTATGCCATTTTATTTAAAAATCCTAGCAGAAATCAGAGTTGTGAATTTCCTAAATTAATACAAAATGGAGACAGGAAAATAAATCACGATCTACCTTCTAGTTTTATGCCTACAACGAAGGAAAATTACAGGTCAGCTTTAAATTCAAACCCCATCACAATCGTCATCAGTGATATTGACTGTCCTGTCAAAGTTCTATCTAGGAATACCTAGTGACAATCCCATCTTGGCGCGTGAAATGCAAAATCTCTTCTTAATCTCACGAGAGATGTATGTTACAGTTAAACGTATTGCTCTTAAAGATTGCAAAATGAACAAAGAAAATTGGAACATCGAAACACAACCCAGATTGACAAAGTACTTATAGCAGTACAAAAAGCATAGGCTAATAGAATTGCAAAAATATGCTACCAATAAATGCAAGTGATGACCTTACCTTGTAGTTTTGACAACAATCATGGAATCTCAACATTATATCACTTGCACGGCTTTCGCTGGTAACTGCAAATGCTCGATGATGCCCTAATCCAAGATTTCCTCTCCCACTAAACAGCCCCATGCCAAATGCCACAGCACTAGCTGAGGCTCGAGAAACCTACATATGTCCAATCACACACGAGAAGAAGGTTTAGGATGAACAAGCCAACAGCAATGATCATCAAGTAGGTGCATTAGTTTCATATATTATACTATAAAAGTTCATAAAAAATGCAAAGTTTAGAGAGAAATAATCCATGAAAAATCGACATGGCGAAGTAATTTTTCAAAAAATTATAGACATGATACGTCATCGACACGTTGATTAAATTTTTTAAAACTCTTCATTTATATAATATAAGTTTAGTTTCATGCTTGTTATTAATTTTTCTTTTTAATTCTTTTAACTATGAGTACCCATTTGTTATACAATGATTACCTTTGAATTAAAAATATATAAAATTTCTAATAAAGAAAGAAAAATGATCATGGTAGAATGTCCGAGAAGTGTCGGTATCCAATACGTGTCCGACATGGAAATGCCATTCTAGTTGAAGTGTCCGTGCAACACAATGAATAATCCCGGCAAATGTCATCACATAAGGGGTTTATATCATCAGTTAGTTAGAAGCTTGACTTGAAAGAAATGAGGTCATTTTGCATCTCTTTTTTCTTTGGCACATAGCTTTAACAAAATATGAATTTCTAGTTTCACAGTAAGAGTAAATTGTAAATAGTGAACCTGAGTAGCTCTTATTGGATATATGTCTGGATGGTATTCTTCTTTAAACAGCGCTGGAAATTTTTCTCTGATTCTAATCCCAAGCTCATACAGTTCAGCTTCTCCTTCACTAATCAACTCTCCACCCTTGTGCTTCCCTTTCCAAGGAGATTTCCATCCCGATAACCATGCAGGAATATTGTGTAAAGATTTCTTCTGCTCTTCTACACTTTGCAAAAGGAATTGTAGCCGGGTGGACAAGGCTTCTAATTCTTTCAACTTTTTCTTGGTAGGAGCACGTGTTCCATGTCTTGCCTGCCAAACCAACCCTTAAAAGCAAGTCACTACAATATGGAATAATGGAAACACACACTTCAAAATATGAAAATGCAGTTGCATTCAGATGTGATGGTAGCAACATATCAAAAATGATTGTAGCCTTTATTTTGTGCAGAAGTAAGTCTGTTAAACAGAGATTTACAGAGTACATACAATTACTTCTGAACACAGAAAGCAAAACAGTTAACTACTAATGGACCTATTGACTAGATGTAGCAATTAAAATTGCACTTTTAAAATCTCACTATGTTTTCTATCCTTCCACAATTTTATTTTGTCAGGGTGTTCTTTTGGTACCCAAAACTTAGAAGTTTTGAAGATTCTTCCAAAATGAAGATTTTTGGAAATCTTCCTTCAATGAGGGGACACAGGTAGCTGAAGTTCAAATTGCAACCACAAATCCCATCTCATCAAAACCTTACTCTACATTGTTATCATATCAATAAGTGAAGCACTTCAGGTTGGATGACTACACACATTCGGCAACAAAAACTCCACTAGCTATCTAGAAATAGCTAAGTACACCATACATAAACATCGGTTAAATATGCACAAATTTCATGCCTATCTATTAGATATATATCTCAAGACATCAAGCAGAAAGCAAGAATAAAATTCAATCGATTCTTGCCTTTCAATTCCACTATGTAAGATTTCAGAGCCTCGGGCCTAGAAAACTATGCATGGCATGATTAAATTATAATTTAAAATTAAGAAGGATTACCACAAGATTTAGGTGAATAGGTGTACAATGATCAATGATATTCGAGGGAACAAACGAATTCTCAGAAATTTCTTTGGCGACGTGATACCTGCGCACAAAATTCAGAAATAAGTAAAATGTAAACAAACATAATCGTCTTCCCTCCCGAAAACAAGAGACAAAGAAACGGGTACCAAAATAATTAAAATAATTCCTATCGATTCAATGAACCGATATATATCAACAAAATCCGACTACGCTAGCGCAGTTCATATTCCATTATATGAAAAAATACCAGAAAAACAAATTTTCAGAATTAAATCAAATCGTCTGTTCAGCATAATCAGAAACTCAAAATAAAAAAAAATTAAAAATTAAAAACGATAGAATCCTCCACCGTGAGAGTGTGGAGCGATACCTGGACACAGTGCATAAATGTTGGCGAACATCGAAATTTTCTTCAGCATTCGAATTTATTTTAACTATAAAAAATACGAGTAACAAAAGTGATAGCTTCTGGAAATTCATAGTTTCTTCAATACATTAGGCAGGAGAATTAAGTTTTATTTATAGCGATGATTTGTAGAAGAGGGAATATTGAAAGGGAAATTATATGCTGCTTCGCAAGGGACATAAACGTATGTATTCATTTTTTATTGGGGGATTCTATTGGATAGACGACGGTGGAGTGCCTTTCTTTCGTTTGAAGTTTGAATCGGATCCTCAGGTGATGCAATTTGGGGTCGTGCCCAGCTGACACGCACGATGGGTTTAACAAGCTCTCCCTTCCAATCTCGGAAAATATACTATTTACCCCTTTTTTTTTTTCTGAAAAACAAGGCCCCGTTTGGTTGTCATTTTTTTGAAAAAATATCGTTTTGAATAGTGATTTTTAAAAATTTATGGTTAAAAAGTGAAAAAAAATTTTGAATTTACGTGCAGATTATTAATTATTATGTGAATATGTAATTGAAAATGAGTACGTACAAAAAGGAGTTTTGAAAGAATCAAAAACAAATACGGAAAAATATACCTAACATTTAATAATAATTTTATTGGCGCAAAACCTATCATCCTATGGACCTATTGCAAAATCAATCATACTATAAAAATAGAACAACACATGCATGGAATAATTGGAAGATGAAAAAAGCAAACAGATCAGATTTCGCCACATCAACATATGTATGAATTCGGTAAGAAATTCCCTATACCTTAGGCTTTTTCCTTCCAGAATACCCTCTTTATCTTTTTAAATTTATTGAAAATCCTCATAAATGACCTTTGAGTTGCGAATCACCATTGCCATCCAATTTCATTAGTTTAGGCATTTAAAATCGTAAAAATTGTCAAATGAAAAAGAAATAATTGCACGCGTGGTCCCAAACTTTTTAATTATTTTACTAATTATACTCATACCTTTTATTTATATCGCCAACAATCCCAAACCCCCACGTTTAAAGGATAAAAGGGTAATTTTATATCATTTCATATAAAATAATTAAAATAAAAATAAATAAATAAATAACCAAAAACTAAAAACAAAAATACCCACCCCACCCTTACCTACGCTACGCTACCTACCTACCTCACCCCACACTTCATCTTTATCAAATATCTCAAGAACAGATCTATGAACTAGATACCCAAACAGCCCTTGTTAGATAACAGGTTGTTTGATTCCCAGCCGTTAGATCGATGGCGTACTGTCCCACTACACCAACATGTGTCTTTTTAGCATATATTATCCTCACTCGCACGCTCCCTAAGAAAACATCTCAAGGGTCACCCATCATATAATTGCTCCAAGCCAAGCACGCTTAACTGTAGAGTTTCTAACGATGGACTTCCAGAAAAGAAGGTGCGCCTTGTTGATATGAGTAGTACATATCAAATCTTTTTATACTTTTCTGGTCTGGGTATTACTATCACCCCTCGTTAGACTCGCGACGTCAGGTGCACCTTGTTATATGAGTAGTACCTATCAAATCTCTTAAACTTTCTTGGTCTGGGGTATTACAATCACCCCCCGTTAGACTCGCGACGTCCTCGTCGCGCTTGATCCATCTGAGGATCTGTTGTCAGGTATTGGGATTCTAGAGGTGACTCTTACGGGTTCAAGAGGTGGCTCATGCCCTATGGCGTAGCACTTTGTCCCGCATAGCACTTAGTTCCCGATTTCCGGTTGGCAACGGGTCTCTAATACCATTTGTAATGATCCGGATCCCATTTAACGGGCTGTTCCGACCGTTAGATCGACGACGTACTGTCCCCACTGTACCAATATGGTCTTTTCAGCATGTTTTATCTTCATTTGCACGCTCCCTAAGAAAACTTTCTAGGGGGTCACCCATCGTAGAATTGCTCCAAATCAAGCACGCTTAACTGTAGAGTTTCTAACGATGGACTTCCGGAAAAGAAGGTGCACCTTGTTGGTATGAGTAATACCTATCAAATCTTTTTAAGCTTTACTGGTCTAGGTATTACAATCACCCTATGTTGGTATAGTGAAGACAGTACGCCGTCGATCTAACGGTCAGGACAGCCCGTTAAGTGAGACCCGGGTCATTACACACTCTTTCTCTAAATTAACAATGTTGCCGTCATAATCACGACCATCTTATATCTTTTAAAACTAACGTTGTCGAAATGAAATAGAAAAAGGGGGCCATAGGAATAACTGTGTATAGTCTGTGTATAATGAGAAATGGAGCCATCATATATAGTTCCATCTATGTCAAGTAAGTGGGTCGAGTGCTAAATGAAACACACGATTTGTCTTCGATTCACGGGCTTCCAGTTATGGTTTTGTGACTATGAATATAAACATTCAATCCCGAGCTTCTAACGAAGCCTGTGAATAAAAAAGACGACTCGATTTATTCATCACAGCCCTCGGTTTATTTGGTATAAAAAAATACCCAACAAATCTCCGCCTTGATGCTATTTATGCTTGTAAGAGAAAACTAGTTTAGTAGTCGCATAATGTGATTTCAAACAAAATTGTAAGATCACATGCCTTTACCAATATTTAGAAGAGTAAGACAACTTCTAAACTTTACTAGGAGAAGCACCTTAGTACCCATATCTGCAGGGTTATAATCTGAATGCACTTTTTCAAGTTTTATCGAATCTTGAGACACTACATCTCTAATAAAATGTAGCCTAACATCTATATGTTTATTGCATTCGTGAAATACAAGGTTCTTACGTAAATGGATAACACATTAACTATCAGAGTATACAATCACTTTATACCTTGAACATTCAGTTCATTAAGTAAGCCCCTAAACCACAAACCTTCTTTTATAGCTTTAGTAGCAACAATATACTCATACTCAATAGTGGATAGAGCAACAATATGTTGGAGTTGAGACTTCCCACTTGCACAAGAATCACACAAAGTAAACATATAAGAAGTAGTTTATCTATATCACCACTTTAGTTAGTATACGTAAAACCTTTATGTTTCACACCTTCACTAGCAAATTTATAAACTAACCCCTCATCAAAAGTACTCTTCAAGAAACTAAGCAGCCACGTTAATGCTTCCCAATGTTTGGGACTAGGATTAGACACGTTCCTACTTAAAACACTAACAATAAAGTTCAAGTCAAGCTTAGTGCAAACCATGAGGTACATTATAGAACCAATGACATTAATAAGGCACTTTACTCATAAAACATTTTTCTTCTTCATTAACAGGCGATTGTTCTTTTGACAAAATAAAATGTTTTTCAAGAGACATAGATGCAGGTTTAAAATCAAGCATGCCAAATTTCTTCAAAATTTTAAGCTCGTAAGGAGTTTGATGCACAAATAAGCAAAAATTAAACCTATCCACGTAAATCTCCATACTAAGGATTTTCCTAGAATGTTATAGGTCTTTCATATCAAATTTTTTACTTAACTCAATTTCAACCTTGTTTACTACTTCATTTTAAGTCAAATTAATAACAAATTGTCCACATAAAGTAACAAATACATACAATCTTTATTAATGTCGTGGTTATGGCAATACAAGTAATGATTAAACTCACTCCTCTTGAAACCAATAGAAAGCAAATAAGAATCAAATTTCTTATACAACTGATGTGGAGACTATTTTAACCAATAAAAGATTTTTTTTTAAAATGCACAGGCAATTAGGTTTAGCTTTACTTTCAAAACGTTTAGGTTGATTTATAAAAATCTTTTCATGAAGGTCACCATGCAGAAAAGTAATTTTGACATCAAGTTGTTCAACTTCCTGGTCATAATAAGCAACAAAAGCGAGCATAACCCAGATAGTGGTATACTTAACTGGCGAAAAGATCTCATTATAAACTACCCCTTACTTCTATGTATATCCCGTGGCTACTAATCTAGCCTTATATCTCAAAGGTTCACTCTCAATAGTTCTGTCTTTTACTTTATAGACTCACTTACATCCCTCTATGGACTTATCCTTAGGTTTAGGAACTAAATCCCAATTTTTTTATTCTTAGTAACAGAACTCATCTCTTCTCTTACTTTCTCACTCATCATAGCCTCCACATAGGTATTTGGTTCTTTATCAACTAGTTCTTGGTAACTAGAGTAGTCAAACGTCCTTTAGTGTTTTCTATATGGTCTCCTCTCTCTATCTGAAGCTAATTGGTAGTCAACTAAAGGATTGGTCGATAGGATTGTCTTATACAATATCCTCATTACTTTTTATCTCTATATTCTACTTATTTTGTGTATCATTTTCCAATTCACTTGAGCTATTGAGGATATGGACATTCACTCACTCCACCTCAATTGGGGACTCTTATTTCTTCACTCTCCATGCAAGGCATCTCTGACTCAATATATGCGACATCATGACTTTTGATAATTCAATCCTCTTGGCTTCTATCCTACGACATATGTCCTTTAACTCCCTCAAGGTAACCTAAGAAAACACACTTCTTAACTCTAGGTTCTAATTTTCCCTCACTTTGATGAGAGAAAGTAGCACTGCCAAAGGTTCTAAGAGTAAAATAATTAGCACATTTATCATATCATATTGTATACGGGGTATCACCATTTAAAGCAAGGGATGGAGTCATATTAATCAAATAATATGCAGTTATAACAGCTTCACCTCAAAAAGACCTAGGTACACCAGAACTCAACATCATATATCTAATTTTATCAAGTAAAGTACGATTCATCCTTTCAACAACCCCATTTTGCTAATGTACAAGGAAGAGTCCTACATCAGTTATACTAGATTCAATGCACAAACCATCAAATTTAGCATTACAAAACTCGAGACCATTATAAATACGCAAATATTTTAACTTCCTATATGCCTAGTTCTCCACTTTAACTTTCCAATTTTTAAAGTTTACAAAAGTTTCAGATTTATCTTTCAATCAATAAACCCACACACATTTGAAGAAATCATCAATAATAGACAGAAAATATTTGTTATCATCAAAAGTATGATTGTTTCCCGGACCCCGTAGATTAGTATAAATCTATTCTAACGCTCTAGATGTCTTTTGTATTCTACATGCAAA